TTATTTTTAATGGAGGTGGGCATTGCAACGGCCTCCAATAAAAGGTCACTGTTAATGGAGACTTTACGGAGGTGGTTGCTTTGCCGGATCGAGACGCCCGCCGCTAGGATCCAGCCTCACGATGTTGGATCGAGATGCCCGCCATCGGGATCTGGCCTCCTAGAGCCAGATCAAGACGCATGCCACTGGATCTTGATGTGGAGGGGAAGGGAGAGCACCTCACCGCTGAGATCCGGCCACCCTCCGTCGATCTCCACGCCTGCTTTTTTCGAAGCCTGCTCGTAGTTGACAAATCGGGCAGTTGCTCGGGTGGGGGAGCGTCGATGTGCCTCTAGGGCTGCCCACCACCGAGGCGTGCGTCCTCGCTGCCTCCGTCCGCGCTGACAGGGCCGCGCGCCCACCACCGCCGAAGGGAAGAGAGGAGAGGGAGGGGCTCTCACGTGTGCTCGCTGCCTCCGTCCAGGGCCACCGGGGCCGCACGCCCACCACCACCGGAGGGAGTTGAGGAGAGGGATGGGCGCTGCGCTCCATCAGGAGGGGAGGGAAAGGAGAGGGAGGCCGGGGCGCTGGGAGGGAGAGGCGCGCCGCGCTCGATCGAGAGGGGAGGGGTGCCACGATCGAGTGTCGAGACGGGAGGAGGGACACTGGGAGTGAGGCTAGGGTTAAGTGCTAGTTATATATGAGCCCGGTTGAAAGGCAAAGATGGGCTTTTTTCTGGGCTGGGAGCCGGGCACTATTTTTGGAGGCGGGCCTTATAGTGTGCCCGCCTCCGAAAATAGATTTATGGAGGCGGGCACCTTAAGACAACCGCCTCCGTAAATAGGCCATTTTTGGAGGCGGTTGTCTTAAGGCGCTCGCCTCCGTAAATTGATTTTAGGAGGCGGTTGGATTTTGACCACCTCCGTTAGTCGATTTTGCAAGGCGGGCAAAAGTGACCGCCTCGGTAAATAAATGTGACTGCCTCCGTTAATAGCCTAGCATTTTTTGGAGGTGGTTGGATTTTGTGCCTGCCTCCGTTAATGTTTGGGCACCGTCACCTAAAATCATTTCTGTAGTAGTGGTTGATGAAAATAAAAAACCAAAAAAAAGCCTAAACCTGGCTAGAAACCAGATCTGGGCCCCTAGCAGTAGCACCACGCCGCCATGCCGTCGATCTACACCATGCCACTGCGTTGTCGGATCCACCACTAGGGACCACATATCAAATCCCTGCCAATGCCGCACCCCCGAATCCACCGTCGGAGGGCTCCTCACCGGATCCAGGTACCTCCTGGCCAAATCCGCCACGGATCGAAGCCATCGGAGCCTGGGAGCGTGGATCAAAACCCCGCCGATGCCACGCCGCCGAAGGGCTTGTTAGGCCCCTACTTCTAGGGTCCTCTGTGCATTATAGCTGATACGCACAACTCAACAAGATTGATATAAAAAACCATACTTTTATTGCTAATCGGGAAAACATGGTACATGGTTCTGGTTGCATAGCTTGGGCCACTGGCCTTATATCATATATCAGAGTCAATGGTTCTATGTCAACGTGGCTCCATTCCTACATGCAGCTTGGAGTGCGGACGTAACCCTACCCTTGTTCCTATAGTGTACTCCTATATTCCAATCATCGTAGTCCTAGTGTAACTCTCTTGTATAGCTCTGTCTTCATGTATACTCCGGGTATTCTATCCTTGCGTAGCTCCAGTAGTTTCCATCCTAGTATGTCCTCTTGTGGCTTCTCGCCTAAAAACGTAGAATGGAGGAGGTTGAGTACATAAAGTACTCAGCAAGCCCTAAACTTTGGGTGGAGGTAGGTGGAAAGGAAGGCTTTATGGTGGAGGTGGGTTATGGTGGTGGTGGTTGAGGTAGAAGTGGTAGGGTGAAGTAATTATAATTGTAGGTTGGTCCCTGGGAGAGTATTACCATTCTTGCCGCTTCCTAGAGTTAATTATAGTTACCAAACTAGTAAAATACATCTTATCAGATTATCACATGTGTAGAAATCTAATCATAGTATCCCATCCTAGCATCTTCCCATTCCAAGGACATGGCTATTAGAATAGATTCAATAAACTTTGTAGAGGTGTACAAATTTCCCCACATGATAGGCACAGCCTCTAACCATGTATGGTGGCAGAAATAGGCCTAACGAGATCCTGTACCCGCTTGGGTGCTACCCTAGACTTCCATATAACTCTACCACGACTTCTCAGGGGTTGGAAAACACACAAATCCAGGATGATACCTAATCATCCCAACACGATGATACCAAATCATCACAATAATCAATAATAGTCAAGGGCGCCAAAATCAAGGGGCTTAACGTGGAAGATCACCTAGCATCCATGCCAACCGGACCATGGAAGATCACATAGCATCCATGTCTGCTCCTGATATTCCATTGCCATCAGCGGCCTCCTAGTAGAAATTATACTTCCACCCAATGAGGTGTGAGATCCAGTCTACCCATATAGACATGTGGCTATACGTAACATCGCACTAGGCGAGAGGGACTACAAACCGGTCTTATATGACCGAGGTGAGTATCTTTCAACAGGAACCCTCACTAGGCGAACCTACCAAGGTAACTTGTACCACACAAATTACCCCTCACTCGCCCCCTGTTAGGGTTTAGTCAAGTTTTACCAGTTTAGGTTTCATAGTTATTATCCTCAAGTTCATTAAGCTCGTATCATATCAAGGTAACCATTACCTTATCATCATTAATCACATTATCATATTCAAGCTCATAATTATTCCATTATCTCATGATGAGGATTTAATTGTAATAGGTTTAGGTTATTAATTGGTGGAGATGGGGAGAAGGGTTTATGGTGGAGGCTAGCAAAATGTGGTGGTGGTGGAAGAGGAGGTGCTTAAAGGATGGTGGTCTAGGTGGAGGGAAGGGATAGGTGGGTGTTTGGACTTGCCTCCATTCGCTGACGATTCTATCCTCGTTCGATTCCTGTGTGTCATGTTTCTGTCTTCTGGACTCCAACGGGTTCTCTCCATGTCTTCTACCCTATGCGGTCTAGCGTCGGTAAACAAGAAAACACAAACAAGGAAAATAACTAGCAAGGCATGTAAAACAAGCATAGGCAATCAATCGATCCTAGTCGGGTGATGGGTTGTTATCTAGGGTTATCACTATTACATCAACATGAAGTCAGGTTGGATGTAAAGGGATCCATCCAACAAGGTGACTCCTACGGGCTAGGTTAGTGTGGTGCGGTTACCTGATGGAAAACTAGACCACGTTATTAGGGTTCACTATTATGTGAACTTGAAGGAGAAAGCCTGACCAAGTCATCATAAATGACTCGTCTAACTTTCACAGGTCCACCGGGTTAGCGACACATACGCGCATGCATATGTATGTGCCTCAGTTAGTCAGTTTAGAGAAAGGGTGGAAGATAAAGTTAGCCATACATAGGCGTATACCCAGGTATCAGGTATATCCTTGTATGTATACATATCCTATTATTTTATGTGATTCGACATGAGTATACTCGAGTACGTGTCATGGTTCATACACATACGCAAATATACGGGTAACTACTACTACGGCGAAGGGTATTATATTATCTACGTGAGAGAGTGTAGGTGTAGCTATTGACACGCATATTATCTATATATGCGGGTTTATATCTACCGCGTATGTATTACTACGGCCTATATATTTGCATGGGTGCAAATATATTACTACTTCACATGTTATATTTATCCATGTATTTATATACGGAGTATAGTGTGTATATATATATATACATGGACATATGCGGTAACGGGATATTAATTAATGGACACAACTATGAATTAATATTTAAATAAGGAAAAGAAACACAATCATATATTTAGAATTTAAATGGGCACCAAAAAATAGGAAAAGGCATTTCAATATGTAGGGTTTTATTTTAGAAGATTTATGGTGAAAGAATTACGGAATTCGGAATTACGATGAAAAAGATATAAATTATTAAAGTTTATCGGCTAATCGCAAATGGAAATGAACATGCACAATTATTTCTACAATTTTATCTAATGAAAATGAGTGGCAATTATCTAGGTATGATCTAGGGTGACTCTAGTTCATTTTAGTAATTTTCTGGGAATTTTCTATAGTTAAAAGCTTACCTTTTAATCTACTGTGTACAATCCCGTAGGCACATTGCATTTTCTCCCTGGGCTGGTGGCTGACGCGTGGGCCTGGTCAGTGGTCCAGGCTGGCCAGTACTGTGCCGAGAACCGTTCTATGAACTCTCTCTGTGGTTCACGTGCACCCGGTCCATGCAGGGACAGAAGGAGGGAGCCGGTCAAGGCACTGACCAGCGGGGCCACAGGTCCAACGACCGCGAACTCAAAATACAAGATCTATTCATCCTTTGGACAATGCTACAGGTAAAGTGTTCAATATATATTTTTGATCTTCTCCAACAAAAAGATCTAGAAAACAACTCTTTCTGTAAATAGATCTCTAGAAAATAGGATATTTAGGTTTGGGTTATGTCTTTGTTGGCATTTAAAATGAGTTTTTCATATGGGTAGTTTGTCGTAGGTTATAAATATTGTGTTGAGAACTATTTCAGGTTTGGGCAGCAATGGGTCTCCCAGCGAGCCTTATTGGGCGTATCGACGTGGCCAGGCGCTCGGCTCTGGGTGCCTTCGGGTGAACGCGTCCGCCTCCAATCCGTTCCGTGTGGACAGAAAGAGAAAGAGAAAGAGAGAGGGAGAGGAAGAGCAGGGGTGAGGGAGGGAGCCCGGCGAGCGGGCAGGGCAGGGCGGCGGCGCATGGCTGCGGCGTCGGCGGCTGGTGGCCACATCGAGGGGTGGGCGCGAGGGCGGAGCGAAGGAGGAAAACGCTGGGCAGCGACTACGGTGGGCGGAGGCGAGTGCTGGCGGTGCTCGCCTTCGGGTGAGGCGGCGGCGGCGGCTTGGCGCGGTGGAGGCAGGGCGGCGGCAGCGGCAGCGCTGGGCGAAGAGCAGGGCAGAGGGAGAGCGAGGCGAAGCAGAGCATGGCGGCGGCGGCGGCGGCGGCTGCGACGACTAGCGAGCGCGGCGCGGCGGTGCTCGGCCCCGGCGAGCAGAGGAGGAGAGGGAGGGAAGAAGAGGGAGCAGAGGAGGTGCGTCGGTGGTGGAGCAAGGCCAGGGCGGCATCGGCTCGGACTGCGTCAGCTTCGGCGCGGTACTGCAGGCCTCGTGCCGGCCTTGGTCGTGTCCACGCGCGGCGCGAGAAGCAGAGCAGAGGGGGGAGAAGGGGGAAGAAGCAGGGGAAGGGAAAGAGTAGAGGGAGAGCAGAGCAGAGCACGGCAATGGCGGCGTCGTTCGTTCCAGCTTCCCCCGGCAACCTCGACGCCCTCGTGAGCTCACCGGCGCCGGCCATTTATAGGCGGCGTGAGGCGGTTGGCCGGGAGAAATATCTCCGGCGGCCAGCGGTGACGCTCGTACGGCAGCGGCGACGTGTCGACGGAAATCCGGGAGGAGATAAGGTTGCCAGCTGTGAAGGTCGTTGCGCGAAGGAAATATCTCCGGCAACGGCTTTCACGTGCTCGGAGGCGGCAGCGCGGACGCGGAGCTCCCGCGGTGGCGACGCGGAGAAGACGCAGTGGCGCGCTGCGACCTGGCCAAGCTGGGCCGCTGGCTTGCTGCCGCCTGGGCAGCATGGGAGAGGGGAGGGCTCGGCCCATGTACACAGAAGACGTTTTCGTTTATATGAAAAAAATGAATTTCCTTTGTAGATAACAGGAGTAGATGTTGTATTTCTAATGTAACCATGTATGTATATGTGTATATGCATTATTTATTTTGTAAATAATAGATAGATGGAGTATTTCTGGTCACTAGAAAATCAAAGAATGTAATATAATATATTTGTATTTTCTAACTATAATTAATAGATAGATGATGTAAATCAAGAAATGTAATGCAATACTTTTATATTCATGATGTATCTCCTAAATATTATATATCCTTTTATGACTATGATTAAAAGTAATGATTTCATATTTCTAAATATCCTATTGTAACTATGATGCAAATTAAGAAGAAAGATTAACCATATAATTAATAGTGAGATGGCCTAGATAATTAAGAAGAGAATATAGCAAAATATGCATGATGTATTTCTAAATATTAGAGACTAATTACGAAATACGTTTGCAATCTATAAATCAGTGAAGGATTTAATTTAACTAAAATGTAATTTGAGAAGGGAGCATTAAATCTATAATTCACTAATGTGATGGCTATTATAATTCCTAGTTAGTTAAGCAGAGAATAAAATATTGTTTATATCTATGATGCATTTTCTACTACTATAATATAATGAAAAGGTTTTAAATAATTCAAGAATGCAATTGATGATTAAGAAATGTTATTTTGGTGCCGCAAATAAATTCTAGAAAAGCAATCATTCAATCAGACACTCAGGCATTGAAGCAATCACGCAAGCAATCAAGTCACTCCAATATTCTAACCTAAATGCATATGGTGAGTTTTGATATAGGGTTTTTGGAAAGCATTTTATTTACAAAGCGGTTTTTGCAGGAATTAAACTAATCAAGTTTTAATTTGTTGTAAAGTTTTAAAAAGTTTAAATTTTTAGTACATTTTAACATGATGTAAAACACGGGTGTTACAGGGCTCCTCCTCGCCGGATCCGTCACCGAAACCCGCCGCCGCACCCTCCACCGAATCGAGCCACGCCGCCACACCACCGAGCTCATGCCACCGTTGTAGGTACCCCGCGCCCCCCATCCGTGCCTCCCTTCTCGAGCGTGTGGTGGAGGGCTCCCCGCCCCCGCCCCACCGCCCTTGCGAGCCACCGCCGGAGCCTAGCGCGAGTGGCCAGCTGGGGCGTGAGCGCCTCCCGCCGCCGTAGGACAGGGCCCTACGCGAAAGGAGAGAGAGAGTGGCCGCTGGTGAGGGAGAGAGAGAGGGGGCCTTGCGCGACGGTGGTGTGCGTCAGTGGGTGAGGGAGAGCCGAGAGAGGAGAAAGAGAGGTGGGGTGCGGCGGTTGGTGAGGGAGAGCCGAGAGAGGAGGAGAGGTGGGGTGCGGCGGTGGGGGAGAGAGAGGACCGCTGTGGTGTGCACTCCCAAGCCCTAAGTCACATATATATACATGAACACAGTAATGGGTTGTCGTGTGTTAGTGAGCTGGGCCTGATTTACGAAGGCGAACGCCTTACAAATGCCCGCCTCCATAAATGATTTACCGAGGGGGACATTTTTTACCGTCTCGGTAAATAAAATGTCTGCTTCAGTAAATGTATTTTGCGAGACGGTCAACTGTGACCGCCTCCATAAATTAAAACGTCTGCCTCCATAAATCCCGAGGCATTTTACGAGGCGGTTGGATTTTGTGACCACCTCGGTTAATGTTTTGGTAGTGTCTCGCAAAATCATTTGTATAGTAGTGATCTCTAGATATGTAGTGAAAACTATGTACCCAAAGAAAGCAAAAAAAGGTACTAGGAGCAGTATACATGGTAACCGCTGTGTTACATTTCATAAACAAAATAACTACTGATTGACTGCTTAAAATTACATTACATTTTGTTTATATAATGGTAAAGCAATAAATCAGCTTGCGAGAAACAAGTGGCATCATACGAAATTGAAAATGAGTGATGTGCTTTCAATAGAAGATTGTGAGCCCTCATGCTATGCCGTATACATAATTATGAATCATTACTCCAACTATTTGATGTGTTTCCAAGAACATTCCATTTCCGGTATTGCATTTCTCATTTCCCATATCCATCCATGGTAGTACATGCATTAGAATTTCAGGTGCAGCTGCTGTGCTGCTAACTGACTTTCCTTCTCCTTCTGAATCCAGTCCACGATTGAGCCTCGCAGCTGCAATGGCGCATGTGCAACCCAAAGGTTGAGGAATTGAGAGAAAACATTTGGCTGACTCCCAAAATCCTCATCTTGTCGCTGCGACATCTTTCGTTTCCTAGCTCCCCCAACAGTTACCGATGTTCTCATGCTTGTTCTGAGTGTGCATATGCTTGCTTTCTCCACCTGAATGTACGCAGTGCCATGTTCAGACTTCCAAAACATTTGGTGGACTGTTGCTTTGGCATTCTTGTGGAAGTAATCTATCGCTTTTGGCAGCATAATCTCTTCTAGTTGTTCCAAGGAAATGTCTGTATGCAAGACATGCTGGCGTTCACCCTCAACTGCTGCTAATGCAGAGCATGTACCTGCAGGAAGCATGTCTTCTATTGAACTGTGGGGTGAAAAGGCAATTCCAACTTCCAGATATGCAGAATCCTTCAGAGAACTTTGATGTTCAGACAATGAGGGCCAACGTTTGTTGCACTCTGACGGTAAGACTTGGCCCTGCAAAAACAGGTAACAATTAGATGAATAATACTATAACCATGGAACGTCCACTATAAGATCAAATGGTGATTAAGAAACACCACGATACAGAATTCTCACATACATTCCGATTTCAGAACAGAATTCTCAACTAAGACCAACATTATACACAAGTTGCTAGCCATTAAAGCATAAATTCCTCCATGCTGCAGCTCTGCTTCTGTATTGAGTCTTGACCCTGTAGTCAGAGCATCTATCCCAAATTTGAGATCTGAAAATATATGTACTTGATCTCTGTTGTTTTGACAGATCTGTTCTTCGTCATGAACAGTAAATCCACACTTTGTTCCTTTCATGGAACACTCCATTCTTTTATTTCTCCATCACATGCTGATCGATCCATGGTAGATATCTGATCAAGAATTTCAGGCGGCAGTGATGTGCTGCTTGTGTTTTTCCTTTACTTCCTGATACCAGTCCATGATCGAGCCTTCCAGTTGGATGGATGCATGAGAAGTCCATAAGTCAAGGAAGCGAGAGACCCAATATGTCAGGCACTCGAACTCCTCATCCAGTCCTTGCAACAGCTTCTTTCTCTTAGCTCCATGAAACGCTTGCCGTGTGCTTGGCCTGAAGATGCTTGCTCTTTCAACCTGGATGTATGCAGTGCCATGCCTAGACCTCCAAAGCATTTGGTAGACTGTTGCTTCCTCATTCTGGCAGAAGTAATCTATTGCTTTTGGCAGCATGATCCCCTCAAGTTGTCCCAAGGTGAAGATAGGATGCAAACAATGTTGCTCCTCACTGTTGGTTGCTGCTATTGCAGGAAACTTATCCACAAGCAGTATGTCTTCTGAAGAGCCATGTGGTGCAAAGAGGACTCCAGCTCTCTGATATGGGTGATCACGTAGAGAACTTCTACATTCGGACAGTGACGCCCTCTGTTTGTCGGACTCTGAGAGTGAGACTTGGCACCACAGACCTACATAAATAACCGGTTCTAGAGAAACATATGGTAATCCAGATGACTTGTCTACCTTGCAACTATGACAAAGTTTGTTCTTATCATGCTGCTTGCAACATAATGGGTTTGGGCGAAACCATTGACTGCCAAATCTGTGAACATTGTCCCAATGTTTTTTCTGGTGTGAATCAACATATGGTACCCACGAGAAGTCTTCTGTAGGTAGTTGCATAAGCCTTTTCCTAATATTTTCAACCGTAGACATGAAAATAGGGGCAAACAGATGTAAGCACTGAATTGCAACCCCAACTATGTCCGTACTCTCCGAAAGCTGCAGTGTTACAGTAAAGCAAAAATCATCATCCGGCTCATTAGGATCTTTCTGCATGAAGTAAAGCCTACCTTGAATTCCATGCTCTGCACTAAAAAATGGAGCCAACTGTAAAAACAAAGGGCATTTGTTTGCCCTAATGATTCTATGTTGTAGTATCTTGCCAGCAAAAAGGTGCCTGATAAGAGGGTCAAAGGGCATGTGACACCGTGGCGTGCCACCAAGCTCTAGTAATCTCAGAAACTCGCTAGCACCATCAGCAAACCATTCAAATCTTTGAATAATGGATATATTCAAGTCATCGTTGTCGTGGTTAAAGATAGAAGAAACAAATGACCTGGTAGCATGCACAACCCGCTTAGGAACGGAGGAATTGCTTACTTCCTTTTCTATGTGTTCATCTTCTAGGATTCTCTGCCTGCATCTGTGCAGCGTGTCATCACACTCTTGAGCAGCAGACTTAAGCTTCCTACGCCAACGCAACAAGGATGTATCAGTGATATCCCACTTATCAGATGTCTGAAGAACAGCCTCCAGCCTGATGTGTGCCATCTCTAGCCTCTCAAGGTTTCGGAACGCATTTGAGTTGTGTTTATCTTCATATTTTTGAAGCAGACCAGATACGATTTGGCTTACTGACTCCTGAACAACTGCAGAACCGACAATCTCCGCCATTAGGATTCAAGCATCTACAATATCCCTTCCCTGTTCACGATATTCACCAGATAACAGTATCGACGAGAGATTAGACACATGAACTTTAGATCACAGGAAATGATTTAGCTTAATTAATGGGAGGAAGAACATACCTTTGGTTGAATTGCATGGACGTGAATGGTGGACAGCTATCCTGTCTATAGATATGTCTTGAGGGCAAAATCCCACGGTGTGGTAAGATGGGAACTTAAAGTCAAAGAGAAGACTGTGATGTAAAAGGCTTAGAGGGGGGAACGTGGTAGACAAGCCTGATAGAAAGGGCTGAGGTTTCGTGTTGATGATGGTCTCTGCTCTCTGGTAGCTCTCTGCAAGGGAAACTTGTCAAGAAGTCTTCGTCAAAGATGAGAACCTCTCTAGCTAATTAGTTCCATGTTTGAACGCATCATTTCGACAGA